AGGGAAAACAGTAAGGAGGCTGCATTAACATTTTAAAAATGTATTGATAAACTAGTGCTTTCTTTGTTTTCGGTTTAAGAGATGAAGTCAGCGACACTGACTCATCTCCGCAGTAGAGGATGCGCCTGTATGCACGTTTCATATGGATTACATGATCTGGGAATATTTGTTTTCCATTTGAATTGGCTCATTTGAAAGTAGACATTTCACTCTTTATAGATATATTTTTCATGTCTGTAAGGCAAGTATACACAGAGTTTCACGCTCAAGTTCACGGAGACCGAGACGGCAGAAAGCGCATCCCGTTTGCTTTCGTTTTACAAAAGCGCAATGTTTTGTTGTTATTGTGAATACACACAAATAAACAGAGTCTTCACAGATTCGAAAGATGTATGACGCTTATCTGTATGAGTAAAAATTAGGGCTGTGCGATATGGACAAAAAAAACCTATCGCAATTTCTTTGATCAATTTTGCGATTTCGATTTTAATCACGATTTTGACACACACAGACATGCTTTACAGTCATTAATGCATTCAGTGTGAATTTGAAACATATTTCCAAAAGAAAACCAATTAGAGCTTTATCAAAAAGCTGTAACATGTCTCTAGAACAGACATATGGCAGGAAAAAAAATACAATCCCGTGTCCAAGGATTTGTTTTTTGCCATGCATTGGTCAATAATGCGCTGTCACTTTAATTCAGCGCGTGCAGCACAGCAGAAATAGACTCCGTGCAGAAACGATCGCAGCACTGCTGTAGACGCACCGCTCCTGGAGCGCACTGCCGGACCGTAATCAAGTGCAGTGCGAACGCTCTGATCCGCTAACATGGGCGCGGACAAAATACGCACCGCAGACGGAGTGTGTGAACCTGGCGTTACGTTTGTATGCCCGCCCGGTCTGTTCTGTTCTCGTGCTCCATTTAGGCGCGCTGCATTCTGATTGGTTCGGATAGCATACTGCAGGAGGTCGGGGGCGCGGAAAATCGTGTTATAAAGCGATTTAGAAATCGTGCACGCTCAAATCGCGATTTTGTGACGATTTCGATTAATCGCACAGCCCTAGTAAAAATGACGTTTTAGAGCAAGTAAGCGCTCCGGCGCCTCCATCTGTCCTGCAGTGAGTGCGCTACTGTTCAGCTTCCACACTCCACACAGACACTTGAACAGCGCACATTTCTCTAGGATAACGTTAAAGCAAACAGCCATGTAAAGTTGCTGCTACTAACATATTTCAGATGATAAGCCATATTTGAGGGTCGATGAATGATAGGTGAGCTTTTGGCTGTCCTGCCCGATGTACTGTATTTCCACAAAGACTAGCCGTTAACGATCTGTGGATCTTTAAAAAAAAAAAAAATTCTATGATTAAGCGACTAATAAAATTTTGGTCGACCAAGCCTCTTCTCATCTACTAACGGTTAGCTGACTATTAGGGGGCAGCCCTAAAAAACATTGTATTGTATTGTATTGTACTGATAGCTGTGAAGGTTTATTCTGCACACTGATCAAACACATCGAGGCTTGAGCTTGGAGAAACAGTCCAGACTGAGAGCATATGCTCAAATCCAGCTGTGATCAGTCAGTTAAATATATAAACACACACACATGTACGTAGAAGACGCTTCGCTGCATCAGTCTGTGTCCTGTGTTCTTCAGATATACTCATACACTCATGCAGACTCGTCCGTATCATGCAGGGCACGTCATGATCACTCAGTTCTCCAGATGTGATGTCACTTCCAGGTGGCCGGGAAGGGCCTGACGCTGCTCGACCTGCTGCCCTTTGACCCCAGCAGCTGACCCGAGCGGCTCCTGAGGTCCCGTTCAGCGCTCTCGCTCAGAGCCTGCTCCTCATCGTAGCTGTGATAAACAGACAGATACGTGCAGATCAGATAAAACAACACAACCCTTACATTGCATTACAATCATCAATTTTAATTCTAATTATTTCTAAATACAGTTTAGTAGTATTACAGTGATATTTCTTGATTTATATAAATAAATTTTAATAATAATTGCAATTAGATATGTTTCCCTAATTTGTTCTGTCTGGAATGTTTTCAAACAAAATATATTAATTTTAGCGCATAAACTTTGAGTTTCAGATGAAAAAGACGGTAGCAGAGTGAAAGGTGCACATCTCTTTTCTCATATGTAGACTATTAGGTCTTTGATCTTTTGCTCTTTGAGCTGCAGTTCATTTCACCGAGTGTGTTTATGTCACTTACATTAGTTGTGTTTGTGAGCATATTCAGTCAGCAAAATTCAGTCTTAAATGTCTGAGTGTGAAATATAAGAAAGATGCTAAATATCTTTTTAAGATAAATCTAAATTTGTAAAAAAAATTATATATATATATAACATGATGATGTGTATGTTGATAGTCTTGACACATTTCTAAAGTTGGGTTATGCATGTTTTAGACGTTTTTTAGAACATGCATAATAAGAGTTGATTCCTGTTGTCACTGTGCAGGACTCATCAGTTATCGTACAGAAAGCACTCCTGATCTCTGATGGATGTGTGACGGCTGTGAATACAGCAGGACGGTCACTCACAGCACTTGGTAGTGTCCCAGAGCCTCTTTGGGCAGGCTGCGGTTCCAGCGGCAGTCTGGGATCTCGCCGTTTGGTGTGACGATGTTCAGCGTGTCGTTGATCAGGTTGTACTTCAGGATGCGGTCGTTAGCCGTGCTGGAGGTGAGCGAAGGAGACGCGTTCACCTGAGACACACACACACACACACACACACATGCATGTGCACACACGCATGTGCGCACACACACACACACACACACACACACACACACACACATGTGCGCACACACACACACACACACACACACACACACACACACATGAATGAGTCTGTTTGGGCTCAAACTATTCACCAACACTGAATAGTGAATAAAGCTGAAAGAAAATGAAATATGGGAGGAAAAACCTAACTTAAACAAAAATTAAAAATGTTGCCTTGGTAAGTCACTGAAATTAATAAGTTTAGGTTGAAGTAGTAAAATTACTCAAATTAAAACAGAAATAAAAATTACAAAACCAAAATAAATGAAAAGTGAATATCTAAGACTGAAAGCTAATTCAGACACTGAAGTGCTGAAGTAAGAGTGAAGTGTGTTTTCACCTCGATCAGCCACGGCTTGAGTTTGTCGTCGATGATGATGTCATAACCGTAACACTCGAAGCAGTGCTTGTCGTTATTCATGACGGGCTGCAGTGAACAAGATCAATATAAGAGCAATACATTCAATGCATGACTATTCATCCTGCTCTTACTGTGAATGATTAACCTTTGTCTTCATTAGAATGTCAGAGCACAAGAAAGGGCGTTTCACAGTGTTTCGTAGGTAATTTGTGTGTGCTTCTGTAGTGATATGAGGGTATTTTCCATGCAGTGTGGCTGGGGTTTTCATTGAGATGCTGTGTTGTCGTGATGTTGACGTACAGCCACAGCTTTGAGGGACTGGACGATGATCCAGTGGATCTGATCAAACAGGTGATTGGTGACGTCCCGTCCTCTGGTGCTCTCCAGATACAGGCGCAGGTTACTGACCGTCCACTTCCCACCGTGGACATGATTATAGTCATCCTGCACTCAAACACACACACTAAATGAGCTGCACAGTCCTCTTCAGTGTTGGGGTAACGCATTACAAGTAATGTGAGTTACGTAATCAGATTACTTTTCCCAAGTAACTTGTAAAGTAACGCATTACTTTTTAATTTACAAGAAAATATCGGAGTTACTTTTTCAAATAAGTAACTCCAGTTACTTTGTTTCCATGTATTGACTGACAGCTCTGGTGTTGCCATGGTGACAGAAATCAGGAGTAAGTGCAGAGTGTTGTGTGTGAACATGATCTTACTGTAGTTCTAGACTAAATATGAACATGTGTTTACTGATCTTTATATTAAAAACAAACAATCAAGACCAGCCCAGATTTTAAAAGCAACGCAAAAGTAACGTAATGCATTACGTTCCATAAAAAGTAACTAAGTAACGTAACTAGTTACTTTTTTAGGCAGTAACGCAATATTGTAATGCATTACTTTTAAAAGTAACTTTCCCCAACATTGAAAAATTTTAAAACTTTAAACTTAAAACTATCCCAGCACTCCAGTCTTGCTTACCAATGTCTGAATGTCATTCATCAAAAACAAAACCTCTGAGAAAATGTTCAGATCCTGCAGCATTTGATGAACCACAATCACACAAATACACTATATGGACAAAAGTATTGGGACCCACCTCTGAATGACTGAATTCAGGAGTTTCAATCAGATCCGTTGCCACAAGTGTACAAAATCAAGCAATAGCCATTCAGTCTGAATTTACACTCATTTGTGAAAAACACGGGTTGTTCTGAAGAACTCAGTGAGTTCAAGCTTGGTACTGTGATAGGACACCACCTTTGTGAAATTTCTTCCCTGCTAGATATTGTAAGTGGTGTTATAGTGGTGGTCATTCACTCCCCCACCTACAATCTCTGCCGGCACCACGACTCGAACCCGCGACCTTTGGGTTACAAGTCAGATCCTCTGACCATTAGCCCACAACCGCCCTTGGTGCGTAAAAGTCACCAACGCTCTGCTGATTCCAGAGCCAAAGAGATCCAAACGTCCACTGGCATGAATATCAGCTCAGAAACTGTGCAGCTGGAGCTTCATGAATGGGTTTCCACGGCCGAGCAGCTGCATGAAGCCTCACATCACCACTACAATGCCAACCGTCGAGTGGACAGCAGCTTGACCCCTGGACTCTGGAGCAGCAGAAACCTGTTCTGTGGAGACCAGTGACACAGTCTGATGGGCAAGTCTGGCTTTGGTAGATGCCAGGAGAACGTTGCCTGCCTGAATGTATTGTGTCGACTAAAGAGTTTGCTGGAGTAGGCATAATATGGAGTTGGTTTTCAGGGTTTGGGCTCAACCCCTTACTTCACTATGCTTCCAACTTTGTGGGGAAAGTTTGGGGAAGGCCCTTTTTTCTATTACAGCATGACTGTGCCCCAGTGCACAAAGTAAAGTCCATCTTGGAGGAGATGTGAGGGGATGGGGTCTAGAGGGTAGAGAATAAGTTTAGAGACTTCATCTTCTGTAAGAGGACAGATGGAGTAACTAAGAATATGTAAAACCTGCTGACCACTCTCCAAACTCAGGAGAAAAGATTTGTCAGTGGACACAGAGCGCGTAAGTGTTTTCTGTTTCTGTTGTTTAGAATAAATATCTGCTAGTAGGGAGGATTAATTTGTTTGCTGCTTAATGTATTTAAAATGTCATGCTGATTGTGCATGTTGTTTGCAGTTAGCTGAAATTAGAATATACAAAAATACTTTTTAACACCTGTTAATTTGCGCTGGTTAACGATGTACTCCACGGGCACCGGACTAAACTCAGGGCAGCGGAGAGAAAGTGTCGCGAATCAAAAGACTATGCTGACCTCAGTAGGTATCAGTCAATGCTATCCTTGTTTTCCACCAAGGTTCATGCTGCCAAAACTTCTTTTCATAATGAGATCAACAGCGCATCAGATACAGGCAAACTCTTCAAAGTGTTCGACTCTCTCCTCTCTCCTGCTCCGCCTCCTCCCACTAGCTCTTTAACAGCTGATGATTTTGCTAATTACTTCACAAACAAACTACTTCCACCAGCAGTCAGTTCTCAGCTCCACAGGTCAAACACTCACAGCTGACCATCTTCTCTCCTGCTGGCGTAATGATCAGGTGTACCAATGCTTCTGTCCATATAGTGTAGGTTTATGAAGGCACCGGACTAAACTCAGGGCAGCGGAGAGAAAGTGTCGCGAATCAAAAGACTATGCTGACCTCAGTAGGTATCAGTCAATGCTATCCTTGTTTTCCACCAAGGTTCATGCTGCCAAAACTTCTTTTCATAATGAGATCAACAGCGCATCAGATACAGGCAAACTCTTCAAAGTGTTCGACTCTCTCCTCTCTCCTGCTCCCCCTCCTCCCACTAGCTCTTTAACAGCTGATGATTTTGCTAATTACTTCACAAACAAACTACTTCCACCAGCAGTCAGTTCTCAGTTCCACAGGTCAAACTCTCACAGCTGACCATCTTCTCTCCCGCTGGCATAATGATCAGGTGTCCCAATGCTTCTGTCCATATAGTGTAGGTTTATGAACACTAACTTACGCCGTGCTTCTGGATGGCCACGTTGGTGAGGTGCACGAACATGTTGTCCAGCTCACTGGTGCTCGGCGTGTATTTGACCGTGCAGAAACGGCAAAATCCCAGTTTGTACCTGACAAAACAAAGACCTTTAGTGCAGATCAAGAGATGCAGAGGTGAATCAATTATTCCAAAGAGCTGTGAATTATCATTATTCAGTCCCACCAAGATTTCACTGTTGGTATTTTCCACTTCTTTTTTTTTTTGAATGACACAGACAGCAGCAGGTTTATTATACTGCTGTCACTTTAAGACCTAATGCACACATGTAATATACTGATACACATGCGATTCCTTTACCAGCTGTTTATGTTCACTTAAGACATAAGCACCTGCATTTATGTAAAAACTCAGCAAGACATTTGGACACTACTCTGTGTGTGTGCTGGCTTATTGGGCTTAACTCCTGAAAATAACTCTTGTAATAACTGCAGCTTTTTTCTCATTCATGTACTGCATTATTATGGAGTCAAATGGCAAATTATGCAGGACTGCAAAAAAAATTGACATTTTGTTGATTTTGCATTGTGTTCAGTGATTGCAGAATTACAAAAAAATGATGGCTTGTTATTATCATTATTATCGAAAATATTTTTATTCTATTCATTTATAAAAGTTAAAGAAATCAGTAAAGAAATTCATTACTATTGCAATAATACATTTGTACTATAAATTTAAAGATACTGAAAATCCGGAATCACGAGCTGCTCATGTGAAAATGAACACAGTGCTACGCTTCACTCAGAAACAGACTTTATAATTATATCATGTTAATCAAAGCCTTGGCAGTTTGATAGTCACACTAAACTAGGCCTAGGCCTTTATCATGTTCTCACAATCATGTATCATTAGAATTCATTAAGAAGTATTGCTAACTGGAAAGTAACACACTTTCATATACTCATGGCTAAGATGTTAATAGTGTCCTGCACACAGCCCCGCTAGCTCGTAAAGCGCAGTCAGAAGCAATCCATGAATTAAATAAGCATATCTTAAAACATAATTAAAGCCATTGTGCAATTTCACCATTCAAACAGTCCACTCACTCTACCAAATGAATTGTTTTCCCTCACATTTACGCAATTAATGCACATTCTCTCAGGTCTGAAAATACTGAGATCCATCTAAATGCGTAAGAATCACTTGTCTGCGTGCGGTGATGGAGATACTCACATGTAGCACTTCAGCGGCCTGTAGCTGGTGACCAGCACATAGAGCCGCAGGTCAAACTTCTTCCCTCCGATCAGCAGCGGGTTATCGATGTACAGGGAGATGACGTAGGCCTCCTTCCCGCTGTTGGCCGCCACAAACCTGTCAAAGCACAGCATCTCAGACAGAAGGCCACATCTGATCACAGCGGATCAAAGCTCAGGAGGTCAGCTCACGTGGAGGTGCGGCTGTCGCGAGACCACTTCTTGATCTGAGAGAGCTTGTTGATGAGGAAGATGCCTTTGCCCTGCGCCTTCCCACACGGCTTCATGATCCACGTGCTGGACGGACTCTTGCGAAACTCCTCCACGAACAGGTTATAGTCGGCCGGCAGCATGAACGTCACCGGCACGAAATCTGTCCCGGAGTCAGAGAGTCGGTCACAGCGCATTCAGAGCCTATGGCACACACACAGAAGCAGCAGCGAGCTTTACCCAGGTAGAGGTGTTTCCCGTTCTCGTCCTTCTCCGCTAGAGGACTGGCCTCCTTCTCCAGCTCCTTCCTGTAGCGCTTGATGTTCTTGATCATCAGGTCCTTCCTGGTCAGCTCGTAGTGGTTGGGGAAGTGATTGACCATCTGGTCGTCGGACAGACGGTAGCCGGTGTCCACGCTGAACACGTTACGGATGGTCTGGATGCTCATCCTGTCACATGACGGGAACACATGACTGTCAACACCTCCGTCTGACAGCACTGTGCTGCTGAAGTGTGGCACCAAACCAGTGCTATTATAGCATCACTGAGATACTGTGAGAGTTTTCACTGATATTAAACAACTCCTGCAAACTATAGCTACAAGCAGCAATTATGGGGCCAAGCACAACAGAGGAAATGAGGAGCATGGGTCTATTTCAAAAATGATGATTTTAGTCAAAATGGTTGGAAATCTAAATACAATCACTAGAAATATGATTTAATGGTTTATCAGTTTTGACTAATAGGTGGCGCTGTTATCAGAAGGATGTGGTGTGGTCAGTGTGAGGTGACAATGACACACATGAAGTTTGGCGTCAACACGACAAAGTGTTGCAGAAATACAGCCTTAGATGCAGTTTGGCAGTTTTAAACCCGAAGAATAGAAAGAGGAGAGATTTCATGGACACTGGACAAAGTTCACAAAAGCTGTAAGCATATTTGTACACTTTGCTACATCTTGTGACCACCAGGTGGCGTCTGCTCAAAACTTCATTGTGTGATTTAGAGACTTGTGCTGAAAGTTTCAGTATTTTACTACAAATTTCAAATTGGCCGACAAATGAAAATTGAGTACTGTTCGATTGGTCAGATTTGTTGATGCACTATATGCGTAGATGGTTTGATCTCTTGAAAATCTTTTAATCAGCACAATCTGAATATGATCAGAGCCAATTTTGGTGAAAATAGTTCTGAACTGTCTCCATTTTGATACAAACGCATTTTCTTTTAATGTTATTCTCTCGTTTACCCCTACCTTATTTCTCCAACATCTAAGGGACATATCAAGCTGATATGGTTTTCAGAAAAATATCATGACATCATAGAGTGCAGTCAATGTGTCGTGAGGAATCAGAATCAAAATCAGAGAAAAAAACATTTTATTTCTAACCCTTACGGTTCAAAAGTTCTTAGCGTAAACATGAGTGAAAATTTGAGCTGTTGGTGGCGCTAGAGGGTTTGAGTTAGAGACTCCAAACTTGCTATTCTGCTCAAAACTTCATTGTGTGATTTAGAGACTTGTGCTGAAAGTTTCAGTATTTTACTACAAATTTCAAATTGGCCGACAAATGAAAATTGAGTACTGTTCGATTGGTCAGATTTGTTGATGCACTATATGCGTAGATGGTTTGATCTCTTGAAAATCTTTTAATCAGCACAATCTGAATATGATCAGAGCCAATTTTGGTGAAAATAGTTCTGAACTGTCTCCATTTTGATACAAACGCATTTTCTTTTAATGTTATTCTCTCGTTTACCCCTACCTTATTTCTCCAACATCTAAGGGACATATCAAGCTGATATGGTTTTCAGAAAAATATCATGACATCATAGAGTGCAGTCAATGTGTCATGGAATCAGAATCAAAATCAGAGAAAAAAACATTTTATTTCTAACCCTTACGGTTCAAAAGTTCTTAGCGTAAACATGAGTGAAAATTTGAGCTGTTGGTGGCGCTAGAGGGTTTGAGTTAGAGACTCCAAACTTGCTATGATTAATGTTGAGACTGTCCTCGATCTGTGTGCCAAATTTCATAACTTTCCCACAAACGCTTCTATGGACTGCCATAGACTCCAAGAGCAGAAGAAGAAGAACCTTCAGTGTTTGGCCCCTAAATATTAGCATATAAAAAACTATAATAATATCTCTATGGTACTAAAACAACACTGGTTTGTATTCATTTTTATATCATTTGAATTATTTTAGTACTTCAACTTAAAATTAAGACATCGAATAAAAAAAAACCTTCAACATATTTTATTCCAGCTAGTTTCTCAGGCAACATTTCACATTTCTGTTTTATTTTAGTTAATGTTTATTTTATTTCCAGCAATGAATATGAGTTTTATGGTTTACTTTTAGTTAAAGGGACAGTCCACACAAATATGACGATTCTGCGGACCACAAAAGAAGACATTCTGAAGAATGCTGTTAATCAGTTTAACTCTCATACTATTTTCTCCACACTATGCGAGTCAGTGGCTGCCGTCATCTCTTTGGTTAACAACATTCTTCAGAATGTCTTGTTTTGTGTTCAGCAGAAACTCATACAGGTTTGGAACAGCTTGAGAGTGAGAGAACTGCCCCTTTAACTCTAATAACCCTGGTCTGAGCAGCACAGCGGTCATACGACTCATACTACACACTGCTGCAGTATACAGTATGCTTGTGAAGATCAGCTGTAATACAGCACACTGTAATGTTATGATAATATCAGTGCACTTCCGTCAGCGTTATATCATCACTAGTTATCAGTGTCAGTGTGAACGGATGAAATGAAGTCTTGCCAGTAGAAGTTCCAGTCGTCGCTGTCTGTCACCTGGATCCATCCTCTCTTCTCAAAGTTATTGATCAGCACTGATTTCTCGATGTCCGTCACCCACTTCACCTTCCCAGCCATCACACACACACACACACACACACACGCTCCTGAAAGACACACAACACATATCACGAACTGTATCTGGTGTTTCTTCAAGAGGACAATATCTCCTCTGTCTCACACTGATGTAAAACAGGGATCGTCAGCCTATAGCACGCGTGCCAGCATTGCAATAATCCAAAGGAATAATCACTGGCACACAAGCAATTGGGAAAAATGCATACTGACGTGCATCTTGAGCTATTAATACTATTAAAGTGTGAGAATTAACCTCTTATTCAAAGTATAATTTAAACATTAAAATAAACAAACGTTTAGGATTTTGAAAGTTTAAAAAACTATCTATGAAAAAAGGCTTCATAGATATTTAAGATTATGCATTATTTGTATGATAATCAAATGCAGACTTTAATCTGAACATTTAAAAATGATTATGTACTGCACAAATACAGCATGCATTAAAAAAAAAAAAAAGGTTTGGTACCGTGGGTTTTGGGTATTTGCACAGTGCTTAACCAGAAAAATTTTAAATGGCACATCATGCCCGGGCCGGCTCTAGGCTAAGCCCACCCAATCAGAATCTAGGTGAAGACAGCACTACTCCTGGTTTTATGATTTGTGCACTGATTAAAAGCAATGCGAGGTGGGCTCTGTGTTGAGAAGCTTGAGGAAGGGCTGTAGAATGCCCTGACCAATCACAAAATAAAATTTAAAAAATTTTTAAAAGGGTAAAAAATAAAATCTACTGTATCTATCCATCGTCTATATCTGTCTATCTATATCTACCATAGACTGTATAAAAACATGGGACGTAGTGTCCGTGACGTCACCCGTAGGGTTCCGAAGATACTATATAGACCAAAATAATTTTTTGAACCAGGCTGTAAACATGTTTTTTTCTGCTGTAAAGTTGGGCATTTTAACATGGGGAGTCTATGGGACTGACTCCCTTTTGCAGCCAGCCTCTAGCGGCCAGTTGATGAATTACAGTTTAAGTCACTTCCGTGTTGGCTTCACGAGAGAGAGCGGGAGGTTGCCGCCTGGTTTATACCCCTCCTGACTGATTTTCAAACAGTCCTATAACAAGCGTCTCAGGAACATTTCTGTGAGTTTGATGTCCACTGAATTCTCTTATGCACGCAGGGTAAAATATTTCACATACAAACACTTTTGCTGTTACTACAGTTTGCTTTTATATAATATTTTAAATACTTAGTTTATTATTACTTGTGTTTGCATTCAATCCAGGTTACTTTGAAAATGTAACAGGTTACAGATTACAAGTTACTGTATTTAAAATGTAATAAGCAGTGTAACTATTTCGATTTCTTTATTAAAGTAATATAACTAATTACATTCCATTACTTTTCTACATTTCTAATGTTGTCACCGTGCAGGGTTAACCTTACAGCAGAGCTCAGACTTTCACAATCCTTCATCAGCTGAATTAAGATCACCACAGAATCACCTCTTTTTACTTCGAGATCATTCTGAGGTTAAATACAGATATAAAATCATAACGAGACATAGTTTAACAGCTATGACGCTCTTTTTGGAATCAAATCTTTGCGTAGCTATGACGGGAAACAGACATTTAACTGTTAATCTTACGAAATAAAGCATACACATAAACTCAAATAGAAAATAAAACGGTTATGGAATAAGCACATGTCCTGAAACATTGCGGTCTCATATCTTACAGCAGTCAATGCAGCTTATGAAAGAAATCAATTAAATCGTTATGTTAACATTGTCATAAGTGACTGTAACTGATTATTTTGTAGATAGTTCCTCCGCAACACTGCTGCTAATACAGTAGAGTCAGATTCATGCGTGTTTAGAGGAATATTTCTGTGTCAAAGTGATAAAAACACTGATTCGCACCGAATCCAGCCACTGCTCGAGTGTGTTTGAACGGACTATAGAGCACACAATCCTCGAAGCACGCCAGTATCATCGTCTTCAGAAGACAAACACATGAATGAAAGAAAGACTGAACATCTGTACTCACAGTCACAGCTTCATCCTGAACGCTGCTTCATTTATTCACAAGATCCGACAGCATCACAACAACAACAACAGCGGCCGCCGCCCATAGCAACGCGCTCCACTTCCGCCGCGTCATTCTTCTTCTTCTTCTTCTTGGGTTTAATAACGGTTGGCGCACAACTTCCACCTGCTGGTTAGGAGTGTGGGCTAAGCTCGCAAAACCCCTTTCCTAATACCTCCGTATATTCTTTTATCTAAATCAGTCATTTCCAGATATAGCATTAAAACAGCAATGCTGAACTCAAACGCGCCGCTGCCCTTAGACCCTTAGAAAAGAGCAGGTGACACTCAAGACAATTATGATATTAACAATAAATTTTTCAAAAGGTTGATGTGTATTTTTCTTATGTTTTTACATTTAGTGATATATTCACACGTTATAGAAACGGAAATGATGGTGTATAAAATAGATTTTAAGATAAAAAATAGACGATAAAGAATGAACTTGACGGAGCTCAAACTCAAAACACACTGCAGCAACAAACAGGAAGTGACGTCTTCCAAATCATAAAATTCTCCATCATTTATTAATGTAATTTACCAAAAACATTATTAAAATCTAAAGTAAAAAAAGATTTTTCAAATTTGCAAATAAAGATTATTGGAGTATTTTGTTACAAGAAAATACTATTTCAGTTTCTGCTTCAAAATGTCATGTTTTTTTGTGTAATTATTTGTGAAATTTTCTAGCAATTTCTGAGTGAAATTTGTTTCAACGCTTTATTTGTCAGTGTATACTATTATTGGATCTAATAGATCTAAGCTAACATGAACAGTTGTATTTTTATTAACTAAAATCTAACAGTTTTACTTAATGCATTAACTAATATTAACTAATGGGACCTTATTGTAAAGTATTACCAACAAATCATATTCAATTTGTATATTTCATGGTACAGAGATAGCATGTCTAGAATACAGAAACAATTGTTTTATGCTAAAAATTGCTTTTAACATTCAAATCATAAAATTCACCATCGATGATCTTTTCCTCTGATAGTCCAGTGGAATGCAACCTGATCTCCTTGAGGACGAAAACCCAGAAATTAATGATATAGGTGAAGATGCACATTTACTAAATAGTAACTAAAAATTATTTTTGTGAGTGACACAGTATTTGCTTTTTTTCTTGCTTACTAGTTTCCATTTAAGCATGTTATATTTCCAAATAGGTGAAACCAGAATGGAGAGACGTTGTGATGACTAACCTGCAGCCTGTCCCTTCCCATCCTTCATGGGTTTCCAGGAGATTTGACAAAACAACAAATCATCCCTCCTATGCTATGCTGAATCTAAATGCAACGGAGGACCTTCTGTGAACAGAGAGAGCACAGATCCCATGTGTTCCTATGCAACTCCAATGGACTCTAATGGCTTGTCTATGCCTGATATGGAAGGCCCGAGTGTGTTTGAACGGACTATAGAGCACACAATCCTCGAAGCACGCCAGTATCATCGTCTTCAGAAGACAAACACATGAATGAAAGAAAGACTGAACATCTGTACTCACAGTCACAGCTTCATCCTGAACGCTGCTTCATTTATTCACAAGATCCGACAGCATCACAACAACAACAACAGCGGCCGCCGCCCATAGCAACGCGCTCCACTTCCGCCGCGTCATTCTTCTTCTTCTTCTTCTTGGGTTTAATAACGGTTGGCGCACAACTTCCACCTGCTGGTTAGGAGTGTGGGCTAAGCTCGCAAAACCCCTTTCCTAATACCTCCGTATATTCTTTTATCTAAATCAGTCATTTCCAGATATAGCATTAAAACAGCAATGCTGAACTCAAACGCGCCGCTGCCCTTAGACCCTTAGAAAAGAGCAGGTGACACTCAAGACAATTATGATATTAACAATAAATTTTTCAAAAGGTTGATGTGTATTTTTCTTATGTTTTTACATTTAGTGATATATTCACACGTTATAGAAACGGAAATGATGGTGTATAAAATAGATTTTAAGATAAAAAATAGACGATAAAGAATGAACTTGACGGAGCTCAAACTCAAAACACACTGCAGCAACAAACAGGAAGTGACGTCTTCCAAATCATAAAATTCTCCATCATTTATTAATGTAATTTACCAAAAACATTATTAAAATCTAAAGTAAAAAAAGATTTTTCAAATTTGCAAATAAAGATTATTGGAGTATTTTGTTACAAGAAAATACTATTTCAGTTTCTGCTTCAAAATGTCATGTTTTTTTGTGTAATTATTTGTGAAATTTTCTAGCAATTTCTGAGTGAAATTTGTTTCAACGCTTTATTTGTCAGTGTATACTATTATTGGATCTAATAGATCTAAGCTAACATGAACAGTTGTATTTTTATTAACTAAAATCTAACGGTTTTACTTAATGCATTAACTAATATTAACTAATGGGACCTTATTGTAAAGTATTACCAACAAATCATATTCAATTTGTATATTTCATGGTACAGAGATAGCATGTCTAGAATACAGAAACAATTGTTTTATGCTAAAAATTGCTTTTAACATTCAAATCATAAAATTCACCATCGATGATCTTTTCCTCTGATAGTCCAGTGGAATGCAACCTGATCTCCTTGAGGACGAAAACCCAGAAATTAATGATATAGGTGAAGATGCACATTTACTAAATAGTAACTAAAAATTATTTTTGTGAGTGACACAGTATTTGCTTTTTTTCTTGCTTACTAGTTTCCATTTAAGCATGTTATATTTCCAAATAGGTGAAACCAGAATGGAGAGACGTTGTGATGACTAACCTGCAGCCTGTCCCTTCCCATCCTTCATGGGTTTCCAGGAGATTTGACAAAACAACAAATCATCCCTCCTATGCTATGCTGAATCTAAATGCAACGGAGGACCTTCTGTGAACAGAGAGAGCACAGATCCCATGTGTTCCTATGCAACTCCAATGGACTCTAATGGCTTGTCTATGCCTGATATGGAAGGCCATTTAACACAAGGTGATGAAGGTAACGACATTTCCACAATGTTTACACGTAAACTTGTCTTTCCTTTGCATCTGAGGAGAGTCTGACTGTTTGAAAGAAAAGCACGGCGTGAAAGAGGACCGATTGAGAAAAGCGTTCTCTCAACCCAGCACTCTCCTCTTGCATCAAAATCTTCATAACAGGGAGAGGCTTCACCACTGTACACTGTGCGGTAAACGATTTAGTCAGGTGTCTAGTCTCAAAAGACTCCGTAGCATCCACAGAGGAGAAACATCATTCAGATGCATGCAGTTCGCAGGTCAAAGTAACCTCAAAACACATATGAGGATCCACACACGTGAGAAGCCTTTTGTTTGCGATCGATGTGGACGGATGTACATTTTGGTGAAACACCAATGACCGTTCTGCCCATTCTCACATTGGTACCTATCATTCATTTAAACATGAAATTACATGGATTTTAACACTACTGTGCTCTTGTGGCTGTCTTTTATCAAGTGTAATAATGGTTTCTTTTTCTGGTGGTCAACATCAACTCCTTCCTATAAACCACCTGTTTCCATTCTGAAATGGACACTTTTGATTCAAATCAAGTCATTTTTTTTCTGTTTTACTGAGAAATACATCAGATTTCTGAAGTAAACTGAGTTGCGGTCAGCATTTCATGTTGACTAACTTTTCTTAGCTATGTTACAATGTACAGTGATATTAGCCTTTAACCATTTTGATTATCTCAAATATTATCTCTACATAATTTTGATTATCTACATTAGAACTGTATCCTTAAGCATTAGTAAAGTTATACCCATGTGTTCTTTTATGTTCAGCAAAACAATAATGCACGACCCATAAAGCAATATTAAAAGTTATATTTAATATAATCGTCATACGTGTTAAAATGTATAAAAAGAAAAACAGATCAATCTATAAATCACAAGAAACTGCCTCTTTTCATAAAGCCAGTCATTTTGATGCGTATAGTATGACATGGTATAGTATGATGTGTGCAGACTTTTGATTTTTATGATTTAAAATTGTGAAAAGTGTAAGTTATAATACCATCACCATTTGTCTGTTTAAAAAAAATCAATCTTAGGCTTACGATGCTTTCGGGAAACGCAGCCCAGGTCAAATCAGATCCCAAACTGATTATCTTAGTTATATATATTAAATAATCAAGTATTAATAAACTTTTATTAATCAATACAGGAATCAACTGCAAAAGGCAAAAGTCAAACCACAGACTCAGTGTTGATCATTTCAAAAATGCTTGGCAGGCGTGATAGAATATAAGTGTGAAGGCAACTAGTATAAAAAGGTTAGAAGCATAACACATGGAAAAGCAGAAAGGCTCCCGCACGAACCCAAAAACTGATAGATGGATCAAAAGGGCATCCACTGTCGGCTGTGGCATTAGTGGAGGGAGTGGAAGTCATCGTTATTTTTGTCGTAGCTGTAGTTGTAGCTGCTGTTGCTGTAGTCATGCTGTTTGTTGTAGAAGTGGTAGACATGGAGGTGTTGGGTGTGGTAGTAACAGCAGATGTTATTGATTTTAAGCATATGCCAACATTGCCAGCTCCGTCTACAGCAACCAGTTCCATTGCTTCAGAACAACAAGAGGCGCTGTAGAATGCAAGAGTGACGTTTACACCGTCTGCCCCGATTATGGTTGTAGTGTTGAGGCTTCCAAGGCCCTGACGCAGAATCAAAGACATGATACCGGTCCCATTTCCATCAGTAAGGTTGGCTGAGAGCTCCCATGACGACAGGCTACAGTTGCCTGAGCAGTTAGCATTTACGCTAACAATCTCACAGACTGGAGAGGTGAAGTCTGTAATCTTGTGGGGGGGGGAATGATTTCAGATATTAAAATATTACATAACATAAAAAAATATATAGTATGTCAAAGATAACCAGGTCAAATATATTTACACTGGCATTTAAAAGTCTGGGGATAGTATTTTTTTTTTTTTTATAAAGATAATATATGATATATAGATATAAATGTTTTAACTGTCGCTTTTAATCAATTGAATGTGTCCTTGCTGAATAAAAGTAATAATATATTTTTATTTATTTTAATCTTCTTGACCCCCAACTGTCAGGAATAAATAGTACATTTAAATTGTGAATTTTATATATACAGGTGC